ACCGCACATTGATGCTTCTCTTTCTTCCTCCCTTCCCTCTCTAAAAAAATAAATAAAATCTTTTAAAAAATAAAATAAAATGGGGGTCATGTGAACAATTATCATATTGAAGTCGTTACGACAACGGACAAAAGCAAACAGAGGGGACGTGTCCCAGCAGCGGGCCAGGCGCACAGAGCGCCCCAGTGACGACAACTCGAGTGGAACCACGCGCCATGTTCTGTCCCCTGAGCACCAGGGACGGAGGGTGCCCGGGTGTGGGAGGAGCCCCTTCCTGGGCTTTCTCCTTCATCTGCCCGCCGCCTCCCCGCCCCCCGCCCCGGGGCACCTCTGGGCCACTCCTCCATCCAGCCCCAGCACACCCCCGGGGCCGCCCTCCCGCCCCTCTGCTCCTGCGGAGGGTCCTCGCCGGCGAACCACAGCCAAGAGGGGGACAGGGACGGATGACGCAGCTGTCTGCACCCACCTGAGTCTCACCTCCTTAGCGCGTTTCTGGGTTTCCTCGGATGAGTCCCTGGAGTTGACAGGTGACAGCGTGAGACTTGGAGCAGAACTGGAAAGAAACCCGACTCCCGGGGACCCTGGGGGGGCCCTGTGTCCTGCTCCGTGGGGGCGGCGCCCTCACCCTCCCGGGGACAAACTCACGCAGGCAGCGCGTTCACGCAGCGAGTGCTTCCCCCGGGCACTTCCTGTCACCTCGCCCCGGTGCCCCGCCGAACACTGAGGGTGCAGCGGGGTCACAACAGCGACCCTGCTCTCGGGGAGCCGAGAGCTTCGCACGGGGAGCGGACACTGACTGCGGGCAGGATGGACACGGAAGGACGACAGCGACTCGGGTGGGGAAGAGACAGGGTGTGCCGGGCGAGCGTGTCCGAGCGTGTCCGGGCGTGTCCAGGCGTGTCCGAGCAGGGCAGGCCGGGTCAGGAGAAGCTGCCCGAGGCGGGCCTAGCATTGGCTTCCTGTTAGGTTCATGCTGGAAAACGAATTTTGTTTTTTCTGGACCCAGAACTCCCACGACCACTGAAACGGAGAACTGTCTTCCAAGCACTCAACTGACTTCACTGTCATTCAGAAACGCTTTGTGCAAACAGCCTGTGGCTTCACACACACATGCACACTCGCGTGCACACACATGCGCACACACACACACACATGCACACACACGCACACAGGTCTAGGAAAGGGAGCAGGTCGTCCTTCTGATGACTGAGGTGTCCAGGCCTCCACCTCAGGCCGTCGAGGGTATAAGAGTATATGTACTCGATAGAGAACACCATAAATGTTAACCCACGACAGACGTTCCCGAGGTGGCATTAACCAGCCAGACCCGGCTCTCAGAAGCTTCCAGGGCTTCACTGGCCCAACCATCCGTTTACGAAAAAGCATCCCGTGCTTCTGTGGGACCCAGGTGACCTGCAGCCCGCCTCAGGCTACCCTGCCAACGTGGGTCCCGAGCAGCGCCCAGGCCCTCCCCTGGCCTGGGCACTGCCCCCCCCTTCTCCACCCCCCCCCCCCCCCGCCCACAGCGGCCTCTCCATGGAGAACTGCATCAACTCGGAACCACCTGCCCGAGGAGCCAAGCCACAGCTTCCCAGCCGACAGCGGACGGCATGAGAGGGGCAGAGCGGGCACGCGGGGCAGACTCCTGCGGTGGGACCCCGTGCCCCCGAGCCCGGGCTCTCAGCGCTCTCTCTCCTCACTCCGGCCCTTGCCGAGACGACGGGCTTTGTGCAGGGGAAGGAAAGCGGTAGGTGCCCCGAGTGGCCATTTCTGCGGGAGACGGGAGCGGGTGGCAAACTGGGGCCCAGACAGGACTGACGGCTGGTGGGGAAGACTCAGGTGGTAGCCGGAAGAGGTAGGGGCTCCAGTTCCGCAGGAAAAGTGGGCTTCCGATGACCTGCGGGTGGCGAGAAGCAGCGAGTGAAGATGAAACTGAAGTGAGCGGGGAGGGGTCCCGGGGGAGGGTCCCGGCGGCGGCAGGTGGGACGGGCTCCCGGAAGCAACTCACCCACCACCGCACAGTGTTTGCTGAGTGTCCCCATGCGCAGTCTTGAGCAAAACGTCCGTGTGCGTGGATTGAAAACCACATCAGGAATAAGCACATCTATACATACATGAATCTAGAAATGCAAAGTGATGGCAGGAAAAAGACTTTCTCTTTCTCTTTCTTTAAAAAAAAAGATTTATTTATTTTTAGAGAGGGAAGGGATGCAGAGAGGGAGAGACACCAATGTGTGGTTGCCTCTCGCGTGCCCCCTACTGGGGACCTGGCCTGCAACCGAGGCACGTGCCCCGACTGGGAATCGAACCCGTGACCATTTGATTCTCGGGCCTGCACTAAGCCACTGCGCTACGCCAGCCAGGGCCAGAATTCACATGTCTTGAAAACCAGACGCTGCAACAACGCGGCGAAGGTTTCGGATGTATGTTTCACGGCGTTCTGCCTCAGTGAGGTCATCAGTGGATTTTAACGTCGTTGCCTCAGGTTGGTGGGGACTGCACCCGCGCCCATTAACAGTGCACGTCAGCATATGGGCCTGTGCTGACTTTCCTAATTCACATACTCTTGAAACAAGATTTATGACTATCCCAGCGTCATCTTGTGCCTGAAACTGACCAGCCCTTGGCCACCAGATCCTCCAGGAAGAGCCCCCCCCCCGCCCCCATGGAGCAGGGCACGCCCCCAGCCCGGCCAGCCCCGCCCACTCAGGGGGCGGAGCCCATGGAGCTCTTTCCACCCCAGCGTTTGGTGCGTGCGTGCGTGCTGTGTGTGTGTGTGTGTGTGTGTGTGTGTGTGTGCGCATGATGAGAACCCTCGTGGGTTCTGTGAAAAGCACTTCCGACCGGTCTGCAATGGGGTTAGCAGCACATTGCAGTGATGGAGATTCACATGTTGCCTAAATCTTAGACTTTTTATAACTCCAGAGAACGCTTCACAGCCCAAGACAGAGGGCAACGCGTGGGAGAGCGCAGGGGCCTGGGCCAGCGCCTGGTCCCCTGGGTTTTGATGCGGATGGGAGGACCCACGCCGGGGCGAGTCAGAACCCACTGCCGGCCTGGGCAGCTCTGGCTCTCCCGCGCCTCCGGGATAATGGGGTCGCGGCCACGAACGAGACAGTTTCTCAGAGTGGGGTGTCCAGTGAATGAAGAACGGTGGACTTCAGGGGAAAAAAATCACAGACACGTAAACATTTTATTGTGCTTATTTTTTAATTTTGTTTTATTAGGATATTATACAAGTTTCAAAGCTAACATCAGAGTTTGCTTAGCGTGTGTATCTAAAGCATAACAAAATAAAAGTATCTCACAAAAGACCACGTTACAGTACTATTGAAACACGGGGCGTGGGACAGGTATGCATGTGCGGGTTACAGACACAATACATTCATCTCGAGGGGAGAAACATCTAGTAGGAGTAAAGCTCCGGTTAAAATAAATACCATGTCAATGTGAACAGCGACACCTGAGGCGCGCTGACGCTGCTGAGGCGTCCTGAGCCAGGCCGCCGTGCGGAGCGGGGAGGCCTTCGGGAAGCGGCCGCGGGGTCTCGCGGAGCCCACAGCCACTGCGCACTGGACGGGGCACTGGACTGGACGGGGCGCCCTCCGCGCACCACCACCCCAGACCTTAGCTTACGGGACAACGTCCCCCGCCGCTCCCCCTGGGGGCCTGGTACCGGTGCCCAGATAAGGTGTAGAATCAAGTGTACCTTTCATCCCACTATTTCTCAAATCAATCCAGACGTCTCACTTAATCCACACAAAATTCACTTGTGAACAGAAATCTATAAAGGCAACATTTTACATGTGATTATAAAAATTAGCACTTCTAATCATCTCCATAATTCTTTGAAATGATCCCATTCAAAATTAAAGTTAGTTTCTTACACAGTGGTTCCTCCAGGAAAGAATAAGGGCACTTAGACTGAAAAGAAGGGAGAAGGGCCGGAACAAGAAGTCTGCCCACGCAGCACGCCCCCCCCCCTCCCGGCAGGGTCCCTGACACGGAGAGCCGGAGCCTTCGCTCACACGGCGCCACGAGGGGCGGGGCCCTCACGCGTGACGCAGACCCACAGCATCTGTAGCATCGCAGGAGAAAGGGGGCATTTGTCCCGAGTGAAGGGCATTCATCTCCATCAGCCGCGCACCGTGAAAACGCACGAGGCACGGCGGGCCCCAGAGAAATGCCTCTCGGCCTCGCTCTGGAAACCAAGCTGCGGGTGGGCCGTGTGAGTGTGACTTGTCCTCAGCCCCCAGGGCCTGGGACAACACCCGGCAGGCTGAGGGGGCCGGCAGGGGGTCCTCCCGGGATAAATCGCCCTCGAGGCACATGACCAACAGAAACACCAAGACTGATTGCATTTGGGGAAAGGGAGAGTTTATACTTTTTTTGCCCTCTATACATTTGCAAAGTTTATAAATGACTTGAATGTATTCAAATTATTGCAAGAAAAATACTTACACGGAAGAAACGAGCCCGGCGGTGACGCGGGCCAGAGGCAGGTGTCGTTGGAAGGCTAGGTCCCCACGCTGGCCGGCTCATCCGCCCCAGGTGGCACGGCGTCCTTCAACGGGTGGCCACCTGGCCCCGGCCTCGCAGCGCTGGAAGGAACTGGGGACCCCCACCTGAGGGCACGCAGAGAAAAGACAACTCCACCCCCTTCACGGGGCTCCGGCCACTTCCGTGCCCTCAACGCACGGTCACCACCTCTGTCTGTCACCTTCCTGCCTGAACTCGGCACTCTGCTTCAACGCTTCCCGGCAGAACCGGCCGTCTCCCAAAAACTCTGCCTGTGGGGACGGCCAGTTCCGTTTCTTCACACAAAATCCAGAACTGCAGCCTTGTCGGCAGGACCCAAGCCGATTCAGCGCTCACCGGCGCAGGCCGCACCACGCACACCCTCCCTCCCTCCCTCCCTCCCTCTCCGACCCGACAGTGCACGGGCGCACCGGGCGGTCCCCGTTCTCAGAAGTTTAGGAAAAATGTTTCCAATCCAGGAAGAGTGTTCAAACACCAAAGACATTTTAAGGGTATTGTGTTGTCAGAGAATCTGAAATATTCACGGATAAAATGCACATACAATATAAATAAGAGAGTAGCTTGCGGAATATAAAAAAAAATTTCTCAAGGGGACCAATCAGAACTTCACTAAAACCTATGAATGAAAACATACGCTTAAACTATAGTGTACATCTCTGAGTGGGGCTTTTAAATTTGCAAAGAAATGGAAATATAGTACTGCAAGATCATTTAAAGGATATTTTCCAAATGTACAAACAATAATAAACACACAGAAAAGCCTTGGGCAATGTGCAACTTTCAAAATTACCGTCACGACAGCCAAACAAATCCTTAACCACTTTTTATGCGGATTCATTTATACCGTTTCCATGCAGAGAGCGCATCAAAGATACGAAGACAAAACAAAACAAAGTGAAAAACTCTTCAGTGTCTGACTCACATTCTGTCCCCCAATGTGTTCACATTTAAGAGTTGCATTTTCAATGTATGAGCTAAGAATTTTCAATGTTTCTCCAATAGTTCGTGTTGACGTTTACCTTAAGAATTATTTAAATGCTACGATGCTAAGAACTAAAACACATACTTCAACTTTCAAAAATAAAATAGTCACCCAAGTTCACAATCGTGTTCCTGTCCACTGCCCGAGGAGGACTGAGAGGCCCGCGGTCCCCAGCCCCGGCGCCGCGCGGGCGGGCTGGGTCTGTCCTGGCGGTCTCCCCCGGGGTCTCTCCCGCCGCGCGCCGCCTGCGGCCAGCCCCAGGGTCCATGCGAACACAACCCACCAGCGCGCACTCCGCGTCGGCGCCCGGACCCCGCTCCCCCGAGAGCCGCTGCGCTGCTCTCGCTCTGCCAGCACGCAATCCGCTCTCTCCAAAGTCACTTGGGTTTTGCAGGAAGGCGACTTACACGGGGACAGAATGAAGCTTGGATGAAAACTGGTTAAGGATTCGAAGCACGCGAGTGCCGGCGCGTCGGCGCCGGCACCCGGACGGAGGCGGGGGCGCGGCCTGCACGGAAACACTTGGGTGGTCTCGGCGTCGCTCCCCCGGGCGCTCAGCTGCTCGAGGTGCAGGCGTGCATCCTCTTGGCGACGTCGTACACGTAGGTGACGTCCGGCCGCTTCTCCGGGTCCGGGTTGATGCACGTGTTCACCAGCTGCCGGAGCTGCGGACACAGAGCGCGGGCGCTTAGTGGGCGTGCGTGGGCCCGGGGCGGCTCCCACTCCGGGGGGGCGGCTCCCTCTCGGGGGGGGGGGGCGGCTCCCACTCCCGGGGGAAGGGCACGCCCTGGCCGAATATTCACGCGCCCAGAAGTACGCGCGACCACTGCCGGAGACCACGCAGTCGCTGGAACGTTCTAAGGGGCGTATTCGTTGGCGAGCATGCGTGGCCAGAGGAAATGCACCCATTCCGACAACGCGGACGCGCCTGGAGGGCATCGTGCTAGGCGAAGCCAGTCAGAGACAGGGAAAGTCAAGAACCACCTGACTGCACTCACGGGTGGGCTGTACAACCGAAATGGACAGACGAACGAAAAGCGAAAACAGGAAAAACCTCACAGACACAGACCACATTAAGGCGGTCACCAGAGGGAAGGGGGCCGGGGAGGCACAGCTGGAGGGGACCAAATGCTCGGCGGCGGCAGGCGGCCTGACTCTGGGTGGCGGGCACCCACTGCCCACACAGCCCTGGCTCTCGGGACTGTGAAACCCACACAGTCTAATCAACCAGGGTCTCCCCAGCAAATTTCATTGTTTCAAAAGAGGTCTTTTCCACAATCAGGAGCCAGATTTTTTTTTCCGCCTTATAAGTACGTCTTTAGGAATAATTTAGATCTTTTGAAAATTTGCATTAACTCTTTCTGGCCAGTACAGTAGCATGTTCTACATTATTGAATTACTATGGTTTCTTCACAGTCATCAACTTCTACCCTCTAGAGGAAACTGGAGTGCGGACAAAACCTGTGGGGTGGTCTGTGCACGGCGCGGTGGAATGGCGAGGTGCACCCCCAGAGGTGAGTGTGCTGGGGGGGGGGCAGGGTCTGGCCCAGCACCAGGGCGAGGAGGCGGAGACCAGGCTGCCAAGGGTCTGAATAGGCAAAAGGCCTTTACAAAACCAGGGAAGAAAAAGCTGCTTAATTCAGATGCTGGAAGGAAATTTAAAAGGCAACACAGAAACATTTAAATGAGAAAAAGCATACAAAGTAAAAATAAGATGAATTATTTATAACACGTCCAAAGCATTACAGAATCATGAGGCATGTGGAAATGAATGACTATTGGTTGTCAATAAAGTGGAACACACTAATATATTGTGATCTGTGTATTTCTAAAGAAATATCGAAGCACAGAGGTGGGCACCCAAACCGTGACAAAGAAGAGAGTGTTAACAGTCGCTGTCGGGGCGGTGACCCAATTGCCACCGAGTTCAATCACGTGCAGGTGGTGGCGGTGGGCTCCTTGTGCGTTACAGCTGCAGGTCGCTGACACCGCGGCTCCCCACGGGATAACGCAGGCCGCGGCGTGGGCGCTGGTGTTCCTCACCCCCATCTTCCGTCCTCCGAGACCAATTACTGCACCGGCCCCCCAGACCTGCCCCGTCCCCACCCAGCCTAGGACACGTGTGGGCACCCCCAGTGGGTCTAGGGGACACAGGCACACCGTATTCCAGCGCTGTGGGTGTTTGTTTACACAGAGTGATTCGCGTCTCCGGCCTGTGCACCGCAGTGTCCCAGTGACGGGCTGGGGGACCAGGGGGAGGGGAGGGAAGCAACCTCAGGCGGGTGTGAGGGACGTAATGTCTGTGTCACCGCTGAGGACCCGCCCGCGTCCTCGGGAAACCCGGGGCAAGTCCACGGGAGTCACGTGGCTCTACAGGGCCCCATGGGACACAGGACGCAGGGCCTGGCGCCGGACTCCTGTCTTCAAGGAGCAAGTCCCCAGCGTCACCGCAGAAGCATAACCGGACCAAGGGCCTGCTGAACTGTCTTTTTTAAACAAACAGGGGACATTGAAAGCTTAAACACCAAATCTTATGTGGCAACTTGAAGTGCGGGGGCGGACCGGCCTCACAAACAGTGAGAACAGGACCCTTCCTAAACCGTTTCAGGGAAGAGCAGAACGCTGTCCACGTGTCTGAGGAAACGCACAACCCTGAGATGATTCTAGAAGCGGCACGGTTATGTGCTGCACGCTGTACTAGTGTACATGCCCTTCCACGTCTCTAAGTCGAGTGTTCTCGCGCCCTGAGCACTGGTCACGGAGCGGTCAGCACCTCAAAACATCGGTGAGCGACATCCCCTCCCAGCACAGGCCGTGCCCGGTGCGGGGGTCGCCCCTGTAAGTGGTCCCGGGACGGGGACGAGGAGCGGCCTTCCAGCGGCAACTCAGAAAACACCGGCCGGTGGCGGCAACCCCGGGGATTGCTCCAGTTTCACTGAAATCGGAGACTCCGGGAACTGTAAGGCAGAGCCCTTTAGACCGCTCAGACGAATAAAAAAGCTTTATAGACCGAGTCTAACTTCAGAATATACAAACAAACCCATACCTGATACTTTTCCTCTTGTTTTTTTTTCTTATTTACCCAAAGTTACTCTTTTATGAGCTAACGCGAGGGTCACGTGTTTTCGCGGACTTTTCAGCTTTGTTAAAAGGCTTCTTGGGGCACAGGCTGAACTCCAATAGCAATGACTCGTGCATGTCCGGTGGAAAGTCGGTCGTCATTTGCAAAGCTCTCATGTAGTGTTTCCCTTCCCTTAAGGGAAAGACAGGGATGGCACCGGCCCGGCAAACTTGAACATTCTCGTTGCTCTGTCCCGCCGGCAGACGTGCGCGCGCAGCCTGAGAGGTAAGACCAGCCCCCACCCGCCCTTCCGTGCCCGTCCTGCCCGGTCACTGTCCCCCAGCCCCGGTCACAGCGCGCAGAGGCCGGGTCTGCACCGCCCCGCCGCCCCAGGTCCCTATTTGCCCCGGGAAGGTGGGCGTGAGGCCCTACCCCGTCTCTCCAACAGGAGCGCCCCCTCCTGGACTAAAGGAAACGGTGCGTTCCGGAGCTGACAATTCAGTACTCCGGTTTTATGGGAACCCCGCGGATTTACACTGTGAATCGCCCTGCAGACACCCGAAATCGGTTTAGTCGAATGAAAAGTCAGATTATTTCTCTGGTGTTCACACGGAGCCCGGCAGAGAGCCAGCGCGGTGCTTCTCCACCCGTGGGGACCAGAGTGAGCCGGGGCTCTCCGGCGCGGGGGGCACCTCCCCAGGCCCGGGGCGGCGGAGGGGACCCTCCGCTCCTGGTCTCCCCTCCTACAGCCGCCGGATGGAAAGCGCAGGCATGTGGCATCGTCTCAGGGAGGGAAAAACACCGGCAGTGGAGGTTGAAGCACCGGGAGGGGGACTTGAGAAGAGGAAGCCGCGTCCGTGAAGACAGTGCGTCACGACCCACTGGCGGTCCCGGCAGGTCTGCAGGGGCGGGTTGGGGTGGGGAGGGGGTCACAGGGCCTGACCCCGGTCCGGCTGCAACGCTGACACCCAGTGACCCAGTCCTCTGATCAGAAGTTCGGTTTAAGAACTTTATACTTCCCTCTGCACTGTTTCTTATGTTTTGCTGCATTAAAAAATTAAGTTCAGCGTGGAGTCTCCAACGGGCCGAGCTAAGAGCCTGCTCTGCAAAGGATGCCGGAGACAGCAGCGGGGACCCGCGGCACCGAGTCTGTCTGAGTTTTTTCTGTATCGTGAATTCTGCGTAATGACTTCGCAGCGTCCCCTACTCAGGGAGAGAAAATACTTATCCGCACACCCGCACTCCGAAGCTCTCGATCTGCGAACGCTCTGCGGAACCGGAACCGGAACCCCGAGCAGGCTGCAGTAACGCCGGGCCGCCCGCCCGCCCCTCCTCGCTCCGGGGAGACTCGCTTCCAGCGTCACCCGGACGGACGCCGCCGCGGCATCCCGTCTCGCCCGTCTCACCGGCGCAACAACAGACTCTACCCACGGCAGGAACCATGCTCTTCCTGGGATTTTTGGAAGGGACACCAGACAGCACGCTTTGCTTGGTATCTCCTCCACGAACCGGCCACGCCACGGGGCGGGGAGTGAAAGTGGAAGTGGTTTTGCTTTCCCAACCCCGAGACCTTCCGCCCGGCCCGGCTTTGATACCTGCCCCTGGGCTGCGGGCCGCAGCGCCGACTTCACACCGGCTGCAGCTGCGGGGGAGGGACCCCGCGGGCAGGCGCGCCTCCACCGGCGGCCGGGAGCGCGGCGTCATTAAAATCCCGCCGAAGGTCACCATGGAAACCGCCTGCTGAGGCCTCGCCGCGCGCTCCGCATCTCCTAATCAGCCACCATGTGAAATGCAAATGCAGACAGTCTGAAAATTAGTCGGGAAGAAGAGGGGCCGACGACGCGGCTCCGTGAAATATTCATGCGCCTCGTGGAAGGGGGAAGACGGCATGAGTGACACAACAAAGCGGGGGCCCTGACACCCCGCGATCACTCCGCGGGCCCGCGCACGCCCTCCTGCGCTCCGGGCCGAGGGCTCGGAGGCTGCTTTTGTGAAATGCCGTATTTATACGCCATGCCCGAAATAGTAATTAAATGGCTCACAGAATGGCCCGGGCATCGGATACAGACAGCCCTTCCAAGTGGTCGCCCCTGCCCGGCGAGGGTGCACCCTGACTCCCCCCACACAGCGCCCCCCTGGAATGAGAAGCAGGCATCACTGGTCAGCAGCCGCAAGACCACCAGAAAACAGGCACGTGTAACATTCCAGGGCCCCAAACGCTCTCCGTGGTAGAAACTCTTCAGAGATGTTTATTTTCCAAGTTACACCGACTCCGTTTTCCTGACGGACGACTAAAACCGAGGGCCAATCATTTCAAAACAGAGAGAGGGACGCCAGACTGCCTAATGAGTGAGCACGGTAACTGCTGTACATTTTCCCTGCGCCCCTCCCCATTCTCCGGGGGCAACACCGAACGCCGTCCCTTGAGAAGGTGAGACCCGCTGGCCCCCAGCGGTGACTTCTCCGGGGGCCGGCTGGCAGGCTTCCCGCAAGGGGTTCTGTGAGCCCCAGCTGGCCGGGGACCTGCTGCTCGCTAGAGCCTCCCAACTGGTGACGTCAGGGCGGAACTGGTGACGTCAGCGCGGAACTGGTAAAAAGTCAGGACGGAACTGGTAAAGTCAGGAAGTATTAGGCTAAAATGGGGGGATTCTGGGTGGAGCCAAAACAGTTTGTCTCAACGGGTCTCCAAAGCAAGTGAGGATGCAGACTCAGATCTTAGGACGGGAGGTCTTCTGAAATGTCCCCCCCACCCCAGCCACTGCTCAGCACGGGCCCCGGGGAACCCGCGCACACAGCGGAGACACGATGGGCACGGGCACGGCCAGGGGAGGGAGGGTCGGGCTGAGAGCGTAAGGCTGGGGACAGGCGGCTAAGACGCCCGTTCAGATTTCTGAAAAACACGAACCGGAGAGCGCTGCCAGAAGAGAAAGTTCTGGCCGCCCTGCCTGCCATCCTGAGACGGGGAGCAGGGAGCGGGAGGAGCTGCCCCTGCGCGGGGCCCGCCGGCCCCTGCACCGCACAGCCCGGGCCTGAGCCACTCGGGGCCGACTCCGCCCGGGCGTGTCCGGTGGCCCCAGGAGGCGCCGAGTCCGCCCCACGGCGGGGCGGTGTCCACTCCATACACGCACCGCAGAGTGGACTGGAACCACGCGTCTCCCAGGGAGCGGCGGCAGAGAAGACCGCCACTCCTGCCGCCTGGCCTCGCAGCCGTATGCATTCCGGGACACGGGTACTTCCCACACCGCGCACTGCTGGCCAGGGCCGCCGGGGGCGCGCGGACGGGGCACCACTTACCTCCTCCGAATAGTGGTCTGAGGGGAGCGGGGGGTAGTCGCACTGCTCGATCTTCTTGCACAGCGAGTACAGGTTCATCTTGTCGCCGTAGAAGGGGCTCTGCAACGCCGCCATCTGCAAAACACCCCGACGACACGGCACGGTGAGAGGGTGGCTCCGGAGGCGGCCGCATCAAGAGGTCACATGCGCAGAAAAGAGCCACAAACGCTTCCCAGAAAGTGAGCCGGACGCTCTTGATTTTTGACACCATCAACCCTCGATTTTTACGCACACCCCCTTTCTGGTCATTCTCTAGTAACTTCTAAAAATCTCACTTCAATGTTTGGTGGCTTTGTTCAACATTTAAAACTCCCTAAAAGGGAGAAGTGATGAACAGTAGTTATGTGTACACACACGCAACATAAAATAGTATTGCGGAAAAACAACATAAAGTAGTTTAAAATCCTCTGCACCTGCAACGCCATGAAAGCCACGAGTGTTATCTCATGACTAAACAGACACTGGTGGTTTACATCGAGCAGGTGATGGCCAAAAAATAACGAAACCCAAACCGAAGTGAAAGCAGAAGTGCCATCCAGCAGGGGTTCGAGGAAGACCACAGACAGGGTTCTCTCCTCCCGCGTAACAGCTGCGGCAGAAAGACAAACCCCTCCGTCGGAACTAGCAACTGATCTCGAGCAGGTTGCAAGGACTTCGAGCTTTTTTCCTCTTTTGATAACGTCTCAAAAACGCACTAAACGTGCTCAAAAGCGCCGCGAGTCAGACGCTACCTCAAGGCATCCAAATGAGATTTCTGATGCAGGAGAAAAAAAAATGGCTCGAAGAATGAACAACTTTAAAAAAGACATGGAATTTCAATGTGATTCCGGGCAAGGTTCCAACCTGACGCTGCAGGTGCAAGCAAGGGCCGCGGCGAGCAGGGCTACAAACTAAAAATCGATCGGAAACGTGCGCGCCCCGCTCGCAGCCCCCTCCCCCCTGCCCCCCCCCCAAGCCGCGGCGCGGGGTGTCCGCGGAGCGGCGGGCGCCCCGCAACCAGTCACCCTTCCCCGCGCGCGCTAATAAGTTTGATGGGGGAGGGCGGCGTGCGCACCCCCCAGACAGGCGGCGAGTGTGTGGAACACGCCGGCCCGGGCCGCGCTGCTCAGCGGGCGTCAGCGGGGACAGGACAGCTGAAAATGGCTCTCATCTGTCCGCGGGCGCCCGCGGCTTAACCCCTTCGGAGCCGCAGCCGCGGCCCCACGGAGAGCCGCCTCGGGAGGAGCTGCCCCACGCGAAGAGGAGAGAGTGGACACCTGAGTGTCCCCAAACGCGGAAGACACTCCCTCGGAGAGGACATTTCTAAGGGAGGCCCTCCGGTCATAATCACATTTTGGGTTTTCTGTTCAAAATGCAAGGTCACGTAGTGGCAAACCAGACTAGGACAGAATGGGGGGGGGCGGGGGTCAACTGCCCCGTCCCTGAGGCTGAGCACCCCAGGTGAGTGCCCCCAGCTCACCACCTGGGGCCCGGGGCCCATCACAGGACTTCTGTCTCAATCCTGCAGTGCTTAAAAAAAATAAAAATAAAAAAAAAAACCCACAGCGAAACCCAGCCTGTCCCCTAAGGAGTTAAACGGGAACGGTCTATTTTCATGCATCTCCTGCTTTGACAGATGAAAAATGTCAACTGTCCTGTTTTTATTTTCCAGCTTTTGCACTATTCATCTGGTTCATTAGTGCAGCGCGGCGCTGCCCTGACAGCTGCTCGGCCGCGCGCCCGGCAGCTGAATTTTTCAGGCTAATTTGATCCTCCGCGCGGAGCGGGCGGCGGGATGATTGACTTGCCCCTGACCTCCGGGGTCCGGCGGCGCTGATTAGTATTCCGGGGGCGTCGGCGGGCCGGGGGCCCGCTGTCTGTCTGCGGGGCTGGCGGCAGCTCCCTCTTTCTCTGAACGGTAAGCCACCAACCTACAACCGTGCCCGGGCGCGGCCGCTGCGCCGAACAATGAAGGGGGTGTGTAGAACCGGCTTTCCCGTGTAAAGGGCCGTGTCGCGGAGGCACCGCGTCTCCGTGTAATTAGTAAAGTCTACTTTGTTGCATATCAATTAAAACGGCACTGCTGGGGTTGTGTTTTTTTTTTTTTTGAGGTTTCAGGAACATTTGAAAGTCTAATTTTCCGAGTTTCCAATACATTTTCAAAAACAGGCTTCCGACGCCTTCATTGTAAATTCTCAGCGCGACGGTGTGGAGTACCCGGGTGCTCTCAGGGCCGGTGTTTTAAGGCTCAGTGACTGGGCGTTTCTAGTAACACGGTATCATTAAAACCCAAATGGACGCAGACACAACGTAAACGCAAATTAAACCTTTGGAAAAATTCTAGTTCTTCCCAAGGACCTGCATGCGGGATTTGAGAAAATGCACCAAGATGAACTCTAATGCTAACGTGATAAGTTCCTGAACTCAAAACCACGCACAGCGCAGAAGCTCGTGGCCGCGGGAGGGTCCAAAGAGGCAGTGCCCGCTCTGGTGGCCACCTTCAGTGCGGGGGTCCGGGGGGGGCACGGCCGCGGGCAGGCACATTCGGACACGAAGGGTCACTGCAGTTTTGACGCGAGAGCCTGCTGGCCCTCAAAGCATTATGCAAACTTCACCAAAGACACTTGCAGCGTCCACCAAACCGTTCCATGGCTAAATTTAATCCCACAAGAGGAATTCCACGTGGCTGTTTATTTTAGGTGTTTGGAGGGAAAGTGTTGCTTTGGTAATACTGGACTACGGCCCAAAGGGATCTACGATGACTGAACAGGAATAAAGTGTTTTAAAATGTATAGTGCCTTTTAAACATCATAGTAACTTAACAGGATCAATTCAGTTCTTGTTAACACTGTGCAAAATTACTGACAGAATATAGTGAGCATGAATCTCTTATAATCTCACGTGCACACACAAACGTATTTGTTATATCACCAACTCATGATTTTTCATAATAAAAATGATCCTACAGGTATAATTTAAGCACATTTAAAAATCCTTTCTTTTTAAATAATCATTAGTCACTGTAGTAGGAAGAACAAAATAAATAATCTCAAAATAAATAGTCTCTTCAGATTTGGAAACATGGAACTGCAATCAATAAACTGATAATTAAAGACCATGGCATGCATTAAAAAAAATAAACACAACAGTTTCTCAGGGTCCATGCCCAAGCACGTGTGAGCCCTGGGGAAGGGGACCTCGCTCTGTGTTCCCTTCAGGAGGCCGAGAAACACGACCGAGAGCGGGAAATGATGCATTGGTTTCTATGTATCCACTTGGACTTCCCTTGTGCGCATTAAAGTAGGAAGATGACTCCATGGACTATTTCCCTTCCCTTTACTTTACTAAAAGGGTTATTCGAATGCAGGCTAATTTTAAATTAACGCCTTTAACTCAAAGCCTGTAACCCCAGGAGGATCGCCCTTCAGTAAGAGGACAGAGTCACTGGCTTAAGAAGCCCCCACCTGCCGACAGTCCGCGCAGGGGCGGGGCCGACCCGGGCACCGCGGCAGTGTCTGCCGGGGGACCCGCCTCCGTGACCCCGTGCCCCTTCGCCACCTCCGCGGCAGCAGAGCCGGGGGGAGCACTGCACCGAGCTGGAGCCGCACAAACTGTTACTCGGGGAAGTGAAACAAAGTGACAACCTAGAAGCGGGCTGGCTTGTGAGCTAGGCTTAAAGCCCAACTGCTCCACGTGAGAGGGGGGAAAAGGTGGCGACAGAGACCGTTCCCGAACTTCACGGTTTAAACCGTTCCACTGCACCTCCTGCAGTGCACGGGGGTCGCACGTTTGTTCACAGATGCTCAGATGCACACTTTCATAGGTGAGATGTGCTGGAAAACAGCACGTGAACGTTAAAAAAGTTTAAAAAGAAAATTCCCATCAACAGAGAAACAATCAAAAATACATTAGAGAAAGTAAACGTGCAAGAACGTGTAGTTCATTAAATTCTCCCATAAAAGCGGTGACTGAGGGAGAGCATTAACTCTTCACGACGATTAAAACCCTAACGACCGGCCACGGCCAGGAACAACCAGCGCGCACGCGCGCACACTGTTTAAGAACAGGGGCGGCGGGCGCGGCCCGGAGACCCGCTGCGGCGCGGGCGCTCTGCGGCAGGCAGGACCTACCTCGTACAGGAGACAGCCGAGGGACCAGATGTCCGACTTGAAGTTGTAGCCGTTCTCGTGGATTCTCTCGGGAGACATGTAGTACGGCGTCCCCACTGCCGAGGGAGACAAGAGGGGCACAGGCGTGAAGGCGCAGCCGGGGCGGGGCGCTACGCCCAAAATCCTGGGCTAAGAACGTCAGCGAGAGCACTCATCGCACCCAGAACCCTGTTTCTGAGAACACGCGGAAGGTCTGCGTTTCCTCTCCGCGCCCTGCCCCTCGCACCGCCCCCGGACCCCCGCTCTGCACCCACAGGGGCCGGGTGCGTTCGGCTTCAGTGACCTCTGCCTCTTCACCGGTCCGCGGAGGATCCAGGGAACAGCAGTGAACCGGGAAGGGGCATTCTAACAGGGAAACCTGGGTGCGCGGTTCACAGGGACTTCATTTCCTTCCTTTAAAAAATTTCAGGCTGGCACGCCCCAAACAAGCACGATACTGTAATCCTTCCTTTAAATATTGGCATGTAACAATGGTGTGCACGCAGGTAGAGTACGCATCCATGAGTCACGCTCGTTAACTGTTACAGAAACATCTCAGAACTCGTGGCCGCTCTCATACGAGAAACTATGTAACCATTAACCTTCCCTACCTCACTCACTCCTGCTTTAGACAGGATGTAACAGACGATCGGACATCCAAGGGTTCCAAAATAATGCATGTGAGAGGTTACCGAAATCTCTGAAAAACAATGTCAGTGGTTGCCACCACTGAGACCTTTTTAGAGACAGGATACTCTAGGTAATTTTTGGGTTTGTTTGTTTTGATGTGTCAATACCTTTTCCCTATGCACATTCAAGATAAAGCTAACAATAAATGTTAATAAATATTTACTAAACATTTAAAAATAAACAAAGGCATATACATTCTATTTTGTAGGGTAAAACTATTTATGGCTTTCAACGTGAAAATATTAAATTGCAACCTCAGAGGCCTATTGCACCATTATTATGAGCCTAAGGCGCTTTTTTGCCAAAAAGAAAAATCAAGGTTTGAGAACAGTATTTGAGGATCTAAGTTGCCTGAAGCAGGAGCTACCCAAACACACTGCTACCATGGAGGAAAGGAAATTCCCCTCTTTCTGTTCCTTTCCAGCAACACCCAGGCATTTTCTGCAGACCCTAGTAAGACCGTGGCTCACCAGGCGGGGCCGTGGCGTCTGGCGAGAGGCAGCGAGGACAGACCCGGCTCCCCTTACGATCCAAGCCCGCACCGCAGAGGCGGGAGTCAATTTTCCAAAATTAGAATGAAGTGACAGCCTCATGACTGAGTGTGGAAACGACACCATGTTCAAGGCGACAGTGTCACGAACCGCTATTCACAGGGAATGTGATCTGGGCGGGAGTCCGCTTCCCCTAAAGCCCCGCGCCGCGGTCGGATCTCGGGCGAGGACGACCAGGGAAGGAACAGGCGAACGGGGGCAGCGGGAGCTTACACAGAATGCGGGCTCTTTGGCAGCGGCACAAAGGAGACGACCTTGAAGACATAAGTCCCTGAATGGCAGCATGTGCTTTGAGGACAGACACGTACATTCGACACTTCCCGTCTGGGTCAGAAACGTCAAGAAACTGCGAAACTGCTGGGTGTGGAGAGTCTGCCCCGGTCCTGGGTGAAACGGAGGGGGGCTCTCTGGCTCTGGGGTTCCAGCACCCCCCCCCCTCCCCGAGTCTGCGTGAGCGCCGAGGGCTGTGGACAGGGACACTCGGTCTGGACAGGGACGCCCCTCTGCGCGCCGGCAGGGCCGCGGGGAGCTGGGCTAGGAAAGGCCGTTCCCAGGCTCCGGGGTTCAGGACAGGGCGCAGGTGGCTGGCCGCTGCTGCTCCTGCGTCTTAGACAAACACTTGTGACAGCCGAGAGGTCACCATTGGAGACGAGCTTCTTCCCAGAGCAACTGTGCAATTCCCGAGAGGGTGAGAGCTGGAGACACTGTGGAGAGCGGCCCGCAGTGCGGACTGAGCACGCGCGTCCTCGGCGGCTCCGGACCCCGCTGCGGGCGGAAGGATGCGCCTCGCAGAAGGGTGGGCGGGTGTGGGGAAGCCGCCGCGTGAGCACGGGTGGCAGCGGGCACGCCAAGTGCAGCCGCGTGGACGCCAGTTCAAGCGCGCTCCCTTTCCAAGATGACATCAGAGGATGTCTCCCACTGGGACACGTGTGGGCAGCGTGAGCTCGGGAGGCTCGGGTGGGAGAACCCTGATGCCGGTCGGAGGGGGCGGTGCGCTCACTTGGCCGCCCGGTCACCGAGCCAGGGGACAGCGTGCTGCGCCGGGAACGGCGGAGAGCGGTTACTCCTTCGCCGACGATAGACGACGGCAATGACAAAGACCACAGAACCCCCCGAGGGGGTTCCAGCGTTGGTGAGCACAGGGGCCGGCCCAGGGCATTCTCGCTGCCTTTAAAAGTCAGTTCGGTTTTCAGCGCGTGGAAGCACAGACGGTAACTAAGATCCCAAAGGTGTGTGCGCAGAGAAAACGCTCCGTGTCCCCGCTCCGGGGGGCACTGCGGAGGCCGGCAGAAGGCCCGCCGCGCTGGAACGTCCCCACTGTCCCGCTGTCCCCACTGTCCCGCTGTCCCCACTGTCCCGCTCCCGCCCGGCTTCCCGTTCCACCGGAGGCCGTGGTCCGACAGGAAACGCGTCGTCGTTCGTCGTGGGTGCGGTGATTGTGGCTTCGGTGGAAACACATCCGCCGTGACAGCAGGTGACGCCCCGCCCCGCCCCGCCCCCAGCCACTCAGACCCACCTTCGGAGTCTGCAGGCCACGCGGGAGGGTACAGGGTCAGACCGTGTAGCAGATTAATTTCTCTAATGAGGTTTTTTTTAAATTCACTTTTTTCTCCCTCTCTACTCCAGTTTGTGATGGAGTAGCCTCTCGGAAGCAGGACTGGTACTAAGAGGAGAAGCCCCTTAAGAATTAAATAAACTTTCTTATTTAATAAAAAAAAACCTAATAATAAACTAGCAGGAATGATAGAAAAGGAGTGGTTTATAAAATTTATATTTTCTTAAGTGTGGTATTTTCTTCCTTAAAAAACAAATGTACTTTACAAGGCACTAAAGGGGTTAACCCAACGAGAGGGTGTAACATTGGTAAATATTTATGAACCCCACAGATACACAGACATAAAGCACATATTAACAGAAAGAAGGAGAAAATGGACAGCAGTACAGCAACAGTGAGGGACTTGAACACCCACTTACAGCAGCGGGTGGATCACTCAGACAGAAGATCAATAAGGAGACGGTGGCCTCAGACAACGCGGCAGGCCAGATGGACATGGCTGACACGCGCGAACATTCCATCCGAAAGCAACGGAGCACACGTCCTTTTCAAGCGCGTGCAGAACGTTCTCCAGGGCGGACCGTGTGCTGGGACACACCCCCGTTCTCAGTGACTTTGCAAGGACAGAAGTCATAGCGAGCATCTTTACTGAACAGAATGATATAAAACTAGAAATCAATGACAAGGAGAAGCCTGGGAATAACAAGTGGAGACTCAGCAATATGCTATTAACAACCAATAGATCAATCAACAAAGATATCAAAGAGGAAATCAAAATACACCTTGAGACAAATGCAAATAAAAGCTCAACATTCCCAAATCTGTAGTAAGCAGCAGAAGCAGCGAGAGGGTGTTTGGGGTGCTACGGCCTAGCCCAAGACACAAGAGTAATCTCAAATAAACACTCTAACTTCACATCTAGAGCAACTGGAAAGAGAAGAGTAAACAAAGCCCAAGTTAGAAGAAAGGAAATTATAAAGATCAAAGAGAAAATAAATTCAGTAGAGACAAAAAGTAGAAATCATCAATGAAGACAGAAGCTGGTTCTTTGGAAAGAAAAGCAAAACGGATGAACCTTTAGCCGGACGTGTCAGAGAAAAACAGAAAAGGCCAAAATGAGTAAAACCAGAAATGAAACAGGGGAAGTTACAACCGATACCGCAGAAACACGAAGTTGTGAGGGAAAGACTATAAACAATTAATTATTCACCAACAAACAGGACAATTGAACAGAAATAACCCAATTCCTAGAAACACACAATCTTCTAAGACTAGCTCACGAAGGGACAGCAAATCTGAACAGACTGACCATCAGTAACAAAATTAAGTCGGCAATCAAAAATCTCCCAACAACTAAGAGAGCAAGTCCAGATGGCTTCACGGGTGAATTCTAATGCATATTTAAAGAGGATTTTGGTGTCCTCCAAATTATCCTGAAAAATTAAAGATAAACGTATACTTCCAAACTCACTCTATTGGGCCAGCGTTACCCAGACACCAAAACCAAAGGCATGAAAAGGCATCCATCCATCCACACAGGCCCCGACTCCTGGAAGAACACAGCTGCACAAATCTTCAACAAAATGTTAAATTCACCAAATTCAAAAATACACTTAAAAAATCAAAACTATGACAAAGTGGGATTTATTCCAGGGCTGCAAGGATGTCTTAATGTCCACAAATCAATCAACTGGATATGCCACATTAGCAAAACAAAAGATAAAAATCAAGTAATCGTTGTAATAAGCAAAAAAAAAAATCATTTGAAAAAACTTAATACCAATTTATGGCAAAACTCTCAACAAAGTAGGTATAAAGGAAAAACAGCTCAGCACAACAAAGGCCGTCATGTATCACAAACCCACAGCTGAGATTACAACCGTAAGAAGCTGCCAGCTCTCCCTCTGAGACCAGAAATGAGACAAGGATGCCCACGTTTGCCACTTTTATTCATAGTATTGAAGTCCTAGCCACAGCAATCAGACAAGAAAAAAAAAAAAAAGACATCCAAATTGGAAAGGAAGAAGTAAGACTGTCACTTACTGCAGATGACATAATATTGTATATAGAAAACCCTAATGATTCCACCAAAAAGTTACCGGAACTAATGCATGAATTCATTAAATTTGCAGAATATAAAGTTAATATACAGACATCTATTGTATTTCTATATACTAGTAACTAAATATCACATTTAAATAGATGGACCAAAGACTTGAATGCAAGACCTGAGACCAAAATCTCCTAGAAGAAAATGCAGGCTACGAGCTTGTTGGCATTGGTCTTAGCAACATTTTACGGATCTGCCTCCTCCAGCAAGGGCAACAAAAGCAAAAATAAACAAATGGGACTATGTCAAACGGAAAAGATTTTGCACAGGAAAGGAAACTGTCAACAAAAAGAAAAGGTAATCTACTGAAAGGGAAAAGGTATTTACAAATGCTTTATCGGATAAAGAGTTATTATCCAAAACAGATAAAGAACTCATAAAAATAAATTCAGGGAAAAACAATCACATTAAAAAAATGGGCAGGGGACCGGAACAGACATTTTTCCAAAGAGGATGTACAGACACCAACAGGCCACGAGGAGATGCCCAGGATCACCAGTTCCCAGGGAGACGAAAACCAAAACCACCAGGTGGTACCTGCCGTACTGAACTTTGCCCTTTCTATCGTGTCGTCTATCAACCTTATAAATGTGACAGGTGCTCTGTGTATGTCTCCATCTTCAAATTCTATGATGAGAACACATCTGTCCCTTGCATCAAGCTTCTAGTCTTGGTAGGTGGCTCTCAGATTCCTTGACCATGACCCCCAGCAACACTGAGACCCCATGGGAAGACACGCTGCCCCTGAGCAAAGGTTTCAGGGACCGAGTTTGCTGTCGCACCTGCAGTGCCTTCTGAGAGCGTCTGCTCCATCATATTTTATTTCCCCGAAACTAATGCCGGTTGCAGCGTGCGAAATGGATTTCACAACTCGTCAGTGGGCTACAACCCGCATGGGAAACAGCGCTGAGCGTTTACAGGACTCTCGTGCTGCCCCATTCACTGAAGCACAGAATCCTGGAACCCACGGGGCTGTTCTCCCGCCCCAAACATGACGCAACTGTGGACTGAGGGGGAGGGGCCGGGAAGTAGAGAGACGGTGACTCAGCGAATGGGGGGGAGCCGGGGGGAGCCGAGGGACAGGTGAAGGCCTCTGAGTTTTTGGGTTTTGAGGATTTGAACATGGTTTGAACATCCATCAGCATAAGGTTTAGTGTTTCTGATGTTTAACCCTACATTCAGAAACTTTTTATTTAAAAAATCGCTGTTGAAAACTGGGAACATGGCCACCTGCACAGAATGACACTCTGTGCTGAATCTTACCACAGAGAACGTGAGAGAACAGGTTTTACTGTGTGTTGATTTGTGGTCACGGAATCAAGTAACAGACATAACAGATGCAAAGTACATAGACAATTCAAAACCTCAAAGACTTGCTAGTCTCCTGAGGATTGGTACATACAAAAAATTTTGGAAGTGTGTGTTCCTATTAATGAATCAAGATCAGTGGAAAGAGCACCCTTTATTTGGTGTTTGAACTGTATTTAAAAAAAAAACAAACAGAGTACAAATGCATAATTATTACAAGACGCTCCTTACCTTTTGGAACCAAATTCCTAAAAATATCTTTACAAAGTTAAATAAAATTCGGTTCCAGGATAAACTTCATTTAAAGCAAACTTATTCATAATTTTATTTATAAACTACATACGGATTTGGTTTATTTGTAGTTTCACTAAAATTTAGACCTGCTCTACGGATAAATCGTGCCCTAAAGAGGTTATCCTCAGTAAAATAAAATGTAAAAAAACATGCAATATGATCTATTGTCCTACCATATTTTCTGTAAGCAAGATTCATTAGTGTAGGTGGTCACGGTTTCAATTACGTTTTGGAACCAGCTCTTAAAAGCAGTCTTCCACACTCGCCCTCTCACACACACGCCAGTAACAGACGAGGGTTACGAGGCTTCAGAAGTACAAACCGGAGTCAGCTGTCAGCAAACGTGAGTCGCGGGCGGGCTTCTACCCTCACTTGACCCACAGTCCTTGCAGGCAGAGGGCCCTCCCTGACCTTTCTCTAGTGTCACCGTGCGCAAAGGCAAGGCAGACCTGCGGGGCGTGTGAAGACCGGCTCTGCTCGCCAGCATTTTCCCGGACAAGAGCCGGCGGAGTCCCAGCGCCCCTGACACCCGGTGCCCGAGCGGCTTTCCGCCCAGGGATTCGGGGTGGCGCGCTGGCCCGTGATTGGCGGGCGCGCGCGCTGCGCCCGCGGGAGGGGGTGACTCCCCCCCGCCCCGAGGAGCCCCCACCCCACCCCACCGGCCCCCTCACCCAGAGAGTGCGCCGCGGTGGTCTTGGAGCTGAAGAAGCGGCCCAGGCCCAGGTCCCCGAGCTTCACCACGCCCGTGGCCGTGATGAACACGTTCGCCGGCTTGATGTCTGCGCGCGGGGAAGCCGTCGGGGAAAGAGGGGGTCAGTTTGGCCATTCTCAAGGACTGAAAACCGCTTTTCACGGCGGAATTTAAAGTAAAGCACAGCCTGAAAATAAGTCTGCTTGAATTCCGAAGCAATTACGTTACTTCGCGTGATTTTTATCTCTCTCGGTGTTTCTGCGCTCTCCGTCCTCTGAGAGACGAACAATCATGAACGCAGCACGTGAACACCACGACTTAGTTCCTTTCACGTGTTTGTTTCCCGTTGCCAGGGAAACTCTGGGGGTACTCAAAGAACAAAACAAATTTGTGTCTTTTTCACATCAACGTCAAATAGAATATCTTACTAAGTATTAATGTATAGATATATTTACATGAAACAGAAAAATCATAACTCTATAGACATATAATTTATGTAGACAGCCTTAGAAATCTTAGATGCTCAAATAAATAGTAAGTAAATTAAATAACATTTTTCATGCCCCCAAATCAAGAGGTGAGTTCCTCAGTGATGTAACCTTCACATTATGCCCAACAATTCGACTAATAACCACGAATATATTGAAGGCTGATGCTGAGAATTAAAGATCTAAGTAGCCATAATATACAGTTTATTTAGCTAAAAAAGAAAACCAAAAAATAAAACAAACTTCCTTACGCTTTCCTGCGTCTGCTTTTCTTCCTTTACCTACCAAATCCCTAAGACGCTCAGAAGAGTCGAGCAAAAACATAACTAATTCTTGTTCTTATCGGAAACCAAGGAGGGCTGGACTCCTAGGCTCATCATCCTAGTGGGGCTGTGACTCGGGGGCCGGCCGCGGGAGCGCTCACCTCTGTGCATGACCCGGCGGGAGTGCATGTGCTCCAGCGCGCTGCACAGCTGCACGAAGTACTTCCACACGGTCCTCTCCGGGATCAGCCGCTTCTGCTTCTTAAAGTGCTGTTGGAAAACGGAAAACAGACGTATAAGCACTACAATTCCTTTCGACTAGACTCTGACGTGCAAAAGTTCGTCAGTCAGAAAAACACCTACTTTATCTCCCTATAACCAACCAAAGGGTCACTGGCTCTCCAGGGAACAATGATCCCAGGACTTTCACCAGACTTCACAGCTCGACTTCTCCCACTTGTACGGAAAGCGAGCACAGGCCAAAGATCACGGTCTCTGCGATGTCCGACTATTCCAAAACATTAACACCTACGTAAGGTCGTCTCTTCTCCTAAGAGGAGGACGTCGAATTTCACGGGGGGAAGAGCCAGAATAAAACATGCTAGAAACCTGAAGGTATGTGTGTTGCTTAAAAGACAATTCTTCTGCTGACAGAGGTTTCACTACAGAATTCCTTCTAAATCAACAGTAAAGTCTCCCTGGTGACCTGAAATATCACTTAACTTATTAAGCATTTAAAGGATTTAAGTAAAAAACCTTCGCACATATTTCTGTTGCACGTGGCAAGTCAAACCTGCAGTCGGCTCTGAGAGGATGAAACGGGACCTCAGGGGTGGAAGAAGCCACAGGCGGCCGGGCAGACGCCCAGCGCCCTCCGGCAGCGAGGGGGAGGGGCCGCCGCCCGGGGCGAACTGCCAACCAGCAGTGCGAGAAAGTCCACTTTCTATATTTATTCTAATTCTACACTTTAGAGTTTACTCATAGTATACGTCCCCTGGACGCGCCCGGGCCCCCGGCTCCTGCGTCCTGGACCCCACACCCGCCGAGGAGCACGCCTGGCCCGTCGCGCCGCACCCGTCAGGAATGTGCCGCCGCAGTCCGGACAGAAGCGCAAAGGCGGCGAGTGTGCGCCTGGGGCCCAGGCGCGCTGAAGCACAGGAGAGACGCGATCACGAGGCAGCGAGACCAGGGACGTCGCGAGGACCGGGGCCAGGCGGCTGCCGGTGTCCGCCCCTTCCCTGTGTGGGGCCCGAGGACAGATGTGACGATGGGCCTTTCATTCGGTGTGAGGAAAGGTTCCCGCTTGGGAGTGCCGTCACATCTGTGTTAGACGTGCCACTGACAGCAGCCACGGCCACCTGGTACAGCCGACCTGACTGTGAGGCTGCGCGGGACGGGCTGCAGGACTGGCCTTGAACCCGCCGTGCCCTGGCCGGGCCTCGGCCTCCCCGCGGCCTGAGGCCGAGAGTCTGGAGACGGCCGAGGCGGTGCCGCCGCCGCCGCCTCTGAGCGCGGCTCTAGGGCTCCACGGCCCCCGCTGCAACTAGAGCACATTTTCTCACCCAAAAGTTGTGGTACTTTATAGGAATAGCCTACCCTTCAAATCTCCGGTTAACGAGAACAAAGGAAGCAATAATAATAATAACGATGGTTAGGCCTTCGAGGCCCCCACAGGCCCGGGTAACACGACACGTGGCCTCCACGGAGAAGACAGGCGAGTCAGAGGTCTTTGTCCTTTGTCGTAAATTTGGGCTCAGGTCAGACCTCTGCCAGCAGAAGGGATGTCACTTTCCCAGCAAACACCCCTCCGTCATCCCAGTGCAGTTTGGAGACGACATTTTGCGGCGGTCACTTCAAAGGATTCGGTGCGCGGAGGCTGGGTGACCGAGAAGACAGGGTGTTGCTGAAGGCGAGGCTGACTGACAGCTGCTAGTGTGACATCGGTGGACTGTTCCTCTTTCTACGGAAACCCGTGTTCTCACCACCCTGAAAGGCACAGATATTGGCTCCACGCCATCTTGGGAATTACATAAACACGTAGAACAGTCCCGTCTCAGTCAGAACTTTGGTAAGCGACCCTCATCTGCAGCGCGTGAGAATTTGCCGAGTCGGGACTCCGGGTGAGGTCCGTGTATCTGAGCTCGCTCTGCAAGGCCCGAGGCCGGGCGGGGCTGCAGCCGCGAGCTGTGGATCACGCTCGTCGCGGGCGTCTGCTTCGACCCGAGGCTGTGACGAAACATTCCCACCCGAGCCCTGTGAGTCCGGAAAACCCACCCAGCGCTCAGCTGCCTCCGCACTACAGTTCGTACCAGATTTATCGACGGAATCTCTCCGCTCTCTGATCGTGCGGGGTATTACCAGAAACTGAACAGATATCCCGTCCTCCGACAGAGAGTGCGGAACAGGTGAAGCATTTTCTGGGCGATGAAGCCTTCGAAAAACAGAACCTTCCATTATTTAGCCAACAAAGAGAATTTTAAGTTCCTATAACGTCACAAAGTTCTCCCCCTAAAAACGCTGTCTTTTGAACACCGGGACGTTACTAGCAAGGAAACAAAGTATTTTCAAAGTCGATAAGAGCATACGAGCACAGCCGTTACTGCAAGGCGGGGCACCGCCTGCTGCCGCACGGACAGTGCTAAGAAGCTTCCGTGCCCCTAAAACCGGGAGAGCCGGCGCGTGGACACGCCGACGACCTTCCCCTCCCGCATCCGAGCACCGGAGCCGCGCGCACGGGTCCGCGACCGCGCGTCCTCTCGTCCGGTTACACCCGGCCGCAGGGGGCCGCCGGGAAGACACTTCACACCCCTGGCCAGGAGACCGCGGCGGCGGGGCAGCACTGAGAAGAGCAGCGAGACGTGGGCAGAGACCCACGCGGGAGGGGAGCCGGAGCGTCCCACCTCCCCCGTCTCCGCCGCCAGCCCGCCGCCCGGGCGCGCCCCCTCAGTCTGGGCCCGCCGTGGGCCAGCACCGGCCTCAAACGCCCGGGGCAGGCAGCTCCCGGAGAACCGTCTCCCGCTTCTCCCAGGTAAGCGCCGCCGCAAACCTGTGCGCCACCTTCCTGTGCTGCTCGCGGAGCGACCATGGTCACCAAGGTCACCAGAGTGCGCCAGCCGCAAGTCACCGAAATCCTGTCGCTCCGCGCCGCTTCACCGCCCAGCTGCTCTAGGAGTGGAGAAGCCCTGCGCGACATCTGTCAGCAACGCTGCAGGCTCCGTGGGACACACGCGCCGCACGCAGACGTCGGTCCGTGTGGGCTCTCACACGGCGGGGGGGGGGGGCACACGTGGGTGTCACGTACGGGGACCCCACGTGCACAGCGCGGGGCCGCCTTCAGCTTCGCAGCGGAGCTGGCAGACAAGGGAACAGACCGCCTTCGGCAGCCCTGGCCCCTCCCACGCTCCGCGCCAGGGGCTGGGAGGGGGAGGGGGAGCGGGTGCCAGGTGAGCTGCAGTCACCGAGTGGACAGGTGGCGCTCTGCTGGGAAGAGCTCCTGGCTCTACGGAGCCCGAAGGTCAAGAGGGCAAGAGACGTTTGATTTCCGGCACAGCCTCTAAGGCTGCATAAACGCAAATGAAACTGCGTCTGCAGGTGTAAGAAACCCCCCACCGAGAAGATGAACGGGATGTGTAAGTTACAACATGTTGCTCTTTCAGCTAATGTATCAAAGCTCATGGAAAGCAGAGTCCTCACACCTCACCCCGAAACTCCCCGGTCTGGGTGTGAAGTCCCCTCCCGTGGAGTGTGCGCCGCGCTGGCGGTGAGCAGGCAGAACGAGTGAGGGCCCTTGCACTGCGGCACCGTGCGCGGCCGGAAAGGACGCCGCAGAGGGAATGGGGTCCCCGAACCAGCTGCTCCCCGGTCTCCCAGGAGCGAGGCTGGTGCGGGCAGGCCGAAGCCAACCCCGGCTCACGTGTGTCTGAGGCTGGCCTCTCCCCGCCTCCTCGCCAGGTCTGCGTCCCCAGACGAGTCCCTCCACGTGGCCAGGGCGGACCCGGCGGCCCTGGGGAAGAACTCCACAAAACCGGGCGGACACCGGCCGGCCCGACCTGACGGGGGGCGTCGTGCGGAGGGCGGAGCGCACGCACACCGCGACTGGGTGGGCGCAGGGAAGCCCGTCTGGCGCGAGGCTGTCCCCCTGCAGAGTCCGGACCCCGGTGATGAAGAAGTACCCGACGACAGGTCCTGGGCTTCCTTGCCTGTCAAGGCCCATCTGGGAACAGTTTCCTCCGACCGCAGCCGCGGGTTCTCCTCGTCACTAATTAGAGAAATACCGAGCGTTTCAACCATACATCGCTTAATTATGTTTGTCAGCCTGGTCTAAACCAATTAATTATTCACTGGGAAGATCTCTGATGCGAGGCTGTCCGCGGGTTTGCTGCCGGACACCCGACGAGGAGCTGCGTCTGCGCTTCTGTCTTCTCCCCAGTTGGGCCGGAGACGGGAGACAGGGGGCGGCGCCGCTGTGATGGTCTGCAGCGCGCCTCGCTACAGAGGAATGAACGGATCACGTCCTTACGTCTCCGGCACCTGCCGCTGCCCTGCCCGCGGCCTCAGGTCCCGGCACGTTCCTTCAGAGGAGAAGTTCGTGTGAATTTCCTCCTCCTGGAGTCCACTTTACGAAGGCCAGCGCGCAGCACACACACCGGAAAGCAGTGACGGAAGTTCCCAGGGCTGCCTGGGGAGGGGAGGCCCCCCTCTCAGCCGGCGGTGCTCTCTCTGCACCTCGGTGGCTCCCGTGAGCGCGGGGCGGGGACCGCCATGGGGCCCTGGGGCCGAGAAGTGTGCCAGGCGTAAAACCGTGCACTCGCACGCACACACCAGCCCCTTGGTGTGCGGCACGGCCATCAGCCCGGCCCCGCCCTGGAAACGGGCCAGCAGAGCAGACGAGGTCCCCGGACTCCGCCGAGCTGCGAGTCAGGTGGGGACAGTGCCGTCCAGGCACCATCAGACACGGAACACGACGATCCCGCCGCCTGGCTGCGTGACTGTGTGGGTCTTGAGGCTTGGCCTGAGAGGGTGACGTCTGTATGGGGAACTGAGTGACGCAGACCAGACTGTGTCACCCACAGGCAGCCCTGGGGGGGGGGGGGCTCAGGGCAGACCCCTGCACGCAGGAGGCCCAGCCGCCCCAGGACCTGGGAGGAGGGGGAGGGGGGCTGGCGCACAGGAGGCGGCAGGGCCAGGACCCGGGCTCTCACGGGGGGCTCTCTCGAGGGAGGACCGCGACACCTGCCCGGAGGCCTGGCCCGCTGCCTCGGCAAACAGGCGGTGCTCAGCATGAGATGCGGACCCTCCACAGGCTCGAACCACGCTGCCCCGAGGGAGGCCGGAAGAAGGGTCTCACCGATTGTCTGCGGGGGAGCCGCGTCAGAATTCCACCGACGCACGTCAGGGTGCTCTGGAAGCTTGGGACTTGAGAATCAAGTCTTTTATCTTAGAGGTTTCCCAATTAGTCTTTTACATGATAGGTCCCTTCAAAGCTTGGTCAGAGGCCCCCGGGGTCGTTGAAGAGTGCGGTTACCAATGCCACGTGGGCTGGGCCCTACTCGTCACCACGCCCAGAATCCTGCAGTTCTGAACCCGTCTCACTGCCTCCCCGGGGTCGGCTGCTGAAAGCTCCCCCCGCCACCCCATGGCATCCACGGAGGGCGAGACCCACTCAAAGAAGGAGCTGGGCTCACTGCCACCCCCATGGACGCGCAACCCCGGGCACAGCCCTCTCCTCTCCTCTCCCGCTGGCCTGAGCAGCGCTTCTGCAGAGGGCGGAGGCGAGGTTCCTGTGAGGCAATCAGCCCTGCAAGTTTGCTTGGGCGGCGAAGGGACAGGCGCGTCCCCCGCAGCTCCCGGGAGCAGGTCTCACCTGGGAGCAGGTCTCACCTGTGCGTGTGGAGCAGGGGCAGCGAGGGAAGAAAACTGGCCTGGACCAGAGCAGGGCTGCGCGACAGTGTAAGCCCCCCGTTCACCGGTCGGCGGGGGGCAAGATGCACAGCCAAGGCCGTCTGCTGCTTCTCTGAGGGTCCGGCAGGGTTCGCCCCCTTCCTCCCCCCGAGAATTAGCTCTTGTTTCTGACGGGCTCGGCACACAAGTTTGGTTTTACTCGTCTCTCCCGTGTGTCTCATAGCTGCTTGGTGACACCTCACCTCTGTGTATTTGCATTTCTTTTAAAAATTAGGACCATAGTTCGGGGTGTGTGTGTGTGTGTGTGTGTGTGTGCGCGTGTGCGTGTGTGTTTTTCCTGGCTATTACCCCGCACAGACACTTTGTCGGTGGCCGGCTGCGCCCGCGGTGGGAAGTCCCTAGACCGGAAAGTCAGAAAACCCATCGCAGAAGTGAGTCACACTCCCCGTGGGACCTGACAGTCAGCCTGATGGCATTCTGTGATAACGAGAGTAGTAGCTTCCTTTTCTGCGGCGCTGCCACCGTTCACAAAGCAGCTCGAGGCCGTCTCCGCCCTGCAGGTGAGGACACTGCGCCTGGCACAAGGGATGCGGTGGAGTGGCGGAGTGCTGAGTGGCTGCCTCCGAGCTCCCCGGGAGGGCAGGGCCCCGCCGCCGCAGGGAGGCGGCCAGCACCCGGCTCAGGAACCCTGGGAGGCTGTGGAACAGGAGGCAGGTGGCAGGTTCTCATCTGATCTTCAAAGGCGTCCTGTGATGCAAGTCTTTCAGGGCCACGAAAGGAAAACAGGAGAGTTTGGCATGAGCCAGACCCAGTTTCCAGCGCCAGCTCCTCTGCTAACCAGCGACGGCACTCGAGTTCTCGCAGTGAGTGTCGGATCTGCCCCTCGGAACCCGTGCACGCTGACCGGGCTGGTGCACAGGCGGCGCCCAGCGCTGTCTTTAAATGCCCCACAGGGCGATTCCACATGGCAGAGACTGTCCCTCATGCCCCGGGACCTGCCGAGGGACCAATGTGCCAGCAGACAACGGCCAGACCATGTACAAAACAGTTCTGAGCCGCCGCCTCCAGCAACCTGACCAGGGCGCTCCAGCCTGCCACCCCCAGCAAACAGCCGGGATGCCGGCCTGCTGCATCCAGCCGGGGCGGGGGGTGGGGGGAGACAGACAGCGGGCTCCAGGGACAGCCCGGGAAGCGAACCAGTACCTTTACCAACAATCAGCCCCGCACGGCCAGGACTTCCTCAATAACTGACCGTTCTTCTCATTTTCACCCCTGCTTCCAACTCGGGACCGACTGGAGAAAGCGGAACGTGCGTCTGCAGCATCCAACCCCAGGAGAAGCCCAGCTTCCACTCCGAGCAACCACAGACACCCAGAGCGCACCCGCACCTCCTCTGTTCCACCGCAAAGGGGCCCCGCTCCTCTGCCTGCCCGTGACTCTGCCCAGGCGCTAGTGACAGGGGCTGACCTCCTTGCTCCGGGAAGCTCAGAATCAATAAACACCTTCGTTGAGTCAGTCACTTGGCTGGTTTTCTGTGACGTCCACACTGTTCAGCTCATCTTCCAGCCCAAATGCAGGTGACGCGTCCCAGCCTCCCTTGCAGCTACATGCCCGGGACCGAGTTCTCGCCGGCGGGGTAGAGCTAACGGTGCTGAGCGCCAGCCTCAGCGGTGGGCCTGAGACACAGCCAGCAGGGCCCTCTGTCCCTTCGCGCTGGGACGGTGGCTTGCTGCGCTGTGAACAGGCTCGGTGTCTGAGAATCCGACAGACCAGAGGGGCCGTGTCGGCCCCAGAACTCTATGCCACAAGAAATACGCGCAGGAGCAGCAGCACAGCAGTGACCCCACTCGCACACGCCATCTCCCTGTGAGGCACTGCCCAAGCTCTCACTGGGCTTCAGCTCGTTAATCAACGGGAGAGCAGCTTCTGTTGCTAGTCTGGCTTTCGGAAAACCAGGCGCCCAGGAGTACGTTGCTGGAGGACGCGCCGTGCTTCGGCTGCTGTCGCCTGGGGGTTTCTATGACTCGTGGCTCAGCTGAAGCCCAACTTACACGATTGTCGAGGAAAAAAGTAACCGTAAAGTGGTCGCATCAGGGTTTGATGTGCAAGACCCAAACACGTTCGTCTCCGAGGACGCGCCCCCAGGAACGGGGGGCTGCTGGGCGGTCTCTCCCCGCCCCGCCCCGCCCCGCCCGGGGTCCGGGGCCAGAGGAACGAGGCCGGTCCACTTGGAGAGGCCCAGCTGCCGAGTGCCGCGTCGGCGCACAGAAGGCAAGTCTCTCGGTCGATTTCCAAGCCGGTTTCAGAGCGTCGGCACGTCCAGGGTGCCCGGCGTGGACTTGGCCGGGCACGGCAGCGCCATCATGACGGCCGTTCCCGCCCCTGCCTACCACTGGCCGCCTGGCCGCCCGCCGGGGCGAGGAGCCGCGCCAAGGCCTCCATTTGGAGAGTCTGCCAGCCGGCCTGTGTGTCCCGTGGACGGTCCTGTTGGAAACAGTGCGCCCGCAGCTCGGTTTTTCACTTTATTTTAGACCTTACCTTTATCATCCTGGACAGATCGCCAGCGTCTGCTAACTCCAAGACTATGTTTAACTCGTTATCTTCGATGAACGATGCATAATATTTAATCACATTTGGGTGGTTGAGTTGCTACGGAGAAAGAACAAGGCATAAAAAAGTTTTCTCATGGCAAATTCTCAAGAGTTTCATAACTTAAGAATAAGTTTAGTTACTGGTTTCACTTTTCAGCTATAGAAATCAATAGGATAGTGCATTTTTCTTTCATCTTGTGAGTTTTAAAACAACTCTTCTAAGTTTTGAAAGTAAAACTAGGTATCAATTTTATTTTCATATCCTTTATGAGAAGGCCTATAGTAACTCATGGACTTAAAATCTTTTAAAGTGTTGCTATGCCCAATAAACATATCTGTATACGCATATGAATGGATGACATAACCAAATCCTCGATTGCTAAAAACCGCAACTAGTCCTTCAAGGTGAGAACTGTCCTTCCGGGTCACTGGACGGTAGACACAGTTTTCCTTTTCCCTTCCATTTCGGTGTCAGAGCTGACCCGAGTATAACTGCATCCAGTGGTTAAAAGTTACAACCAACCAAATAACAACTGTAACAACTAGCATCTGTGATATTGCACCCAAATGCTGCTTTTACACCAGAAAACCTGAACTTATCCCATGGGGCTGATTCACAAAATTGCACTAAGAAAAATTTCACCAAATAGAAATATATGAATCACTTCATCTACAATTAGGAACTTTTTGTACGGTCTTTTTTTCAATCTTTAAACAAGCTAACACAGGACAAATAGTTTCTCAAAGAAAGTTATTCAAAAGTTACTCCAGAAGAGTGTGTCCACGAGTTTCTTCTCCACTTTCCACTTGGAAAGAGGAGGCCCCCCCACACAGTTTACATGTATTGTTAAGTAGTTCCTCATGTCCTAGGAAGTGACTCCACCTGACAGAACAGTCTGGAAGCACAGGTCATCCCCATCTCGCTTGTATCGTTCTGGACCGGTCTGATTCATTCGAGGCCCAAACAAACGTGGGTGGCAGACAGGACACCCAGGTCATCTCCAAAGTTAAGAATGCAAGTCACAGCACCCTCGACAGGCATGTCCCCGGAACAAAGGCAGGACAGAGCTGACACTTCGGTCATGTTCTGTGAGTGGGCGACACACCGAAAAGCTCGTTCTGACACCCTCCTACCCCACCCTTTCTAAGCCCGGAAAGAGACACAGAAACATCGTGAAGAACACGGGGGCCCCTGGGACCAGCCCACCTTCTCAGCGCCTCACACCTTGAGTTAAAACCAATGTGCACGTATGTTGCCACTCAGCCTTTGGCATCTGCCTGGGATGGTCAAGAGAACAGTTCCTGCAATGTTTCATGCCCATTCTATCTATTCCCAGTTTGAAATGGGGGTGTGGGGGGGGGGTGCCAATCCTACCAAATGTTCCAATGACATTATTTTATAGTGATCCCCAGAGGGGACTGTGTTTCTCAGCAGGCTGAGATCCAAACTCGGGCAGGTACTTGCGGTCAGAGCGGCACAGCCGTATCAAAGCCCCTTCGCTTGTGAGCACACCACTTCAACAAGTGCCCGTCATCAACACATCCAGCCGCGTCCCAAAGAGCCGACGGCGGGCTGGCGCTTACCTTCAGGAGGTCGATCTCCTTGATGCAGTCGGCGCGGGCTTTGGCGTCCATCAGGTCGAATATCTGAAAGAGAACGCAGAGTTACCCGGTGGAGCGACGGCCTACGGCTCCCGCTGCGTGCGCACCCGTTGTGACATTTACATCCGACCGCGTACACGCTGAACAGTTTCCCTTCCGATCAGCCTGCGGGAGCTGCGGCGGCCTGTGGGCCTTGGATGTGACGTGGCCACTAGGGCCTCCAGTCCGCCCTCCGCGGGCAATCGGTGGTGAACGTGGGAAAAGAGAACGGCTCGATGTTTCAGGCCTTAAGTTCAAACGGGAAGAACAACAATTAACAGACACTCGAACAACTATTACACGCTAAACGGACTACCCCGTTTCATTCTCATTTACTCCCCGGGGGCATATTAGTGTTCCCACTTCACGGACGAAGAAGAGCAGGTTTGGGAAGCCAGAGAGACTGAGAGAAGGTCTCACAGCGACCCAGCAGTGCGGCCAGAGCCCATTCTCGGAGTCGCCCAGCGGCGGCCGCAGCTCTGCACCATCGACCCGTGGGGTGGAAGCACGTCGTCTGCCGCGCCTCGTGCCCACGTTCCTGCCGGGCACCGCCTGTCCGCGGGGCAGAAGCGGGCCCTTTGGAGGCGGCGGCGACGGTGACGCAGCCCTCCCCTTTCCGAGGACGAGGCAGACAGACTCAGGACGCCTAAGCAGACGTGTCTGTGGGAGTGACAGACACTTCGTGGGGCGGGACAAGCAGGAGCACGTGCCCGGGAAGACGGCCTGGGGAGGAACGATGGAGAAAAAGGCTGAGGAACACTGGTCTGATGTGAAACACAACAGATAACACCATCGAGGCAGAGTTAGTGCCTCTGACAACAACAGGGACCTCTCCGTGTTCTCAGAATAGAAAATCACCATAAACACAAAGCCACACCCTGAACGTTGAAGTCTGCGTGAGTCAACACCACGAGCTGAACAAAACCCTAGGTACCTAATAACACGACCTGAGTAACATTTGTAAACATTTGTGGTCATCAGCTCCGTGCAGTCCTCCCATGGCGACAGCCGGGCGGGGGCAGTGCACCGCTGGGCTCTCCGCGTCGGACCCGGGGGCCGCGGTGAGGACTGGGCTCAGAGAGGAGGACAGACCCTCGGGGCCAGAGCACCGCCCGCCACAGAACCGGGACCGAACCGCGGTTGGTCCAGCCCAGGGTCGGTGCTTTCTCCACCCGCCAGGCTGCCAAAAGTCCCGCGTACACAGCCAGCCACGGAGCTCCGCAGAGCACACGCGTGCCGGGCAGGTTGGGGACCCAGGAAAGGGATCCCACGGGGGCAGGGAGGGGTGAGGCGAGGCTGGGCCGCCAGCGGCCCCGGGAAAGCCCAGGCAGACGGCGGGCGGGGCCCAGGCGGGGCTGCGAGAGGCGGCGCCTGCCCGCTCACCTTCCCCAGGTCCTCACACCCACGCGGTGCCCCCGCGCCCTCCCTCCAAGAACACTGGTGAAAACACACAGAACGCTGGAGCACGAGTGGGCCCGCACACTCCCTTCCCTGGGCGGCTTCGGCGCGGGCTCGCTTCCCCCCGTTTCCCGAACAAACACGCGTCTTCCACGCGGTGAGAACAGCAGCCTTCCGTGAAACTGTGCGCGCCTCCTTCCCCGGCGTCACGCAGCAAACCCGGCATCCTGTCTCCACCGCTGCCCACCCCCTTTTACGGGGCTGTTTCCAGCGAGAACGTCAAACGTCAGGCTTGCTTTTCACGTCTGGTGGGAGACAGCGCAGTGCCGCCGCGTGTGAGGACTCGGGAGGGAGACGGGCTCGCGGAGAGACCGGGGACCTGGTGGCCTGGAGGCCTCCCCCACTCAAGTCCACAGACCGGGAACGGGCTTCTCTTTCCTCCGTCTGCGCCAACGCCGCCGTGGCCCTGCTGGCCGCTGTGACTTCAGAACGGAACGGAGAGGCGAGGAGAAGAGGAGGGAAGGAAGGACGGCGAGCGGCGAGCGCCGTCGGGAAGCTCACGTGCAACATCGGTGAGAATACCGTTCTGCGGCCATGGAGCCCCCGCGAGTACCGGTCGGGCGGAGGAGGCCCTCTCGGAGGTGCCGCCGGCAGGCGCAGCCCGGACAGCCGCCCGCAGTGCAGCCGGGACAGCGGCAAGGAGGACGCGGGAGGACACGCCTCCGCGCCCGGCCCCCCTCGGTCGGCGCGGCTGCGCTCTGCCCGCGAGGGATTAACCCAATGGGGGCCGCCTGCTCTTGCCGTGCTCGCACCCTTCGCAGAGCCGCTCTGACCCCCAGCTCGTGCCGAGACGCGGCGGGGAAACGGGCGAGGAAGCGAGCGCGCAGCCCCGCGGCGGCAGGTGCGGGCAGGTGCAGCAGGCGCTGCCCGGGCCAGGTGGGGGCGGGCCTTCCCCCGGGATCCACCGAGGCAGCGGCGTGTGAGACGCCTCGCAACGCGTTCTCACCGAGTCAAGTCAGAACCTCACCGCTGGAAGCAGTGGGCCCGCCATTCCACCGAGACAAGCCGCTCGTTTCCCTACATTCTCCAAGTGATGCCAGGAGACGCTGGCACTACAGAACACGCTGACAACAGTAACGAGTACTGACGTAAACACAGCACTGTGGGCTGGGTGTTAGCCACAGGGAAAACGCACGCACGCCCAGACTGCCTACACTTGAGCGATACCCGGGCGGCAAGAGGAATCACTCACTGATCTTGCCAAATCAGGGGCAGCGACGCTGTTCCCGGGAGCCAGGCGCCGCCCGGGGCAGAGGCGGCTTCCAAGCACCGCGGGGAAGCACAGAATTCTAAACGCCGTCGTCCTAGGCCTTGGAGGAATTCCTGGAAACCTCCTGTTCCCAGCACACAGGGAAGGGGCAGTTCTGGTCCCAGGGATCACACTGAGAAGTCACGAGCCTGGAGACGTGGACAGGTCTAACCTCCCAGGAATCGAGCCTTCCCGCTGGAAAAAAAACTCCGGAACAAAAGCCCGCGGGCGTGCGAGAGATGTGTGTGAGGTCTCGCAGGCCCCAACACCCAGGCGGGCCGCGCTGCGCGGGGGGCACGACTCTCGGGCTCAACTTAACCTGCTTTAGGATTGCAAGTCAGCGTTTCACCAGGGGAGGAGTCAGGCCTCAGACGCCGAGAGAACAAGCGCTGCTGGGACACTGAAGGCAGAACTGAGTTCTGAACCAAACACATGTACGAATGCATTTAACTGGAACGTCGGAAGTACCCTATCTTTCTTTTTTGCTTAGCCAGCAAGTCGAGGCAAAATAAAAACTGAACCTTTAGATTAAATAGTCCCTAGATATAAATTCAAAGCTGTCTCATTTCATAAGCAAAAAAAAAAAAAATGGCAACACATACAGGGGAAAAAAGAATCTGGATTTTGCAAAAATATTTTTCATAAAATATTTACGAGCTCGTCTTCAGAAGTCATCTTTCTCAGCTCTACCGAAGTTTCTTTCCGTTTTGAGGTTTATTTTATCCTTAGGAAGAGCACTATTTAGACAAGTTCTGGCTGATGGGCACACTCCGAACCATGTACAAGTCTTCTTCCATAAAGGGTCTTCTTCCGTCACCTTAGATTCGGCCCCAACCACGATCGACCGGGGCTGAAAGGGCGACACCGGGCCGCTGTGAGAGGCACGGGGGCCTTAGGGGACGAGGCGGGGACGTCCTCAGGAGGCCGGTGTCAGTCAGTCCGCTGGAAGAGAGACCTGCAGCGACGTGCGGGAAGCACGTGGAAACACCCCCGCCCCCCCCCCGGGGTCCGACGAGGCCTGTACGTCTCGCTTCATGCGAATCTCACACAAAGGGAACCACAGCCAGGCGGCCCCAGGCTGACAGCTTTCTGGAGCCCGAGGAACCAGCAGGACAGCCTGTCCCCAGAGGAGTCCGGTGGCGGTCTCAGCCGCCCCCTTCTGACCTCAGCCCTGGGTCGTGCCTCTCCCACCCCCACGTGCCTGCCCCTGGGGCCATGGCCTCGCACCCACACCTCTGAACCACGCACCGGCCACCAGGCCCGCTCCTCCCTGTGGACGCGGCGGGTCCCTCGGTGGCGGTCTGGACCTGGGCGCCGCGGCCTCGCTCAGGACTACACACACACACACACACGGAAAACCCTCGTGCATACGGTGCCCTCTGACCCCACGGGCTGGTGTGGCAGAGGGCCCTGCTCCGGGGGCCCCTCCGTGCTGAAAAGCCTCTCGGAAGGGCCGCGGGACATCCCTCCGCGGTTCCGGTTTACGGGAGCTGGGAGCCCCGGGAGCCCAGGCGGGCCTTGCACCGGGTCGGGGACTCCTGCTCAGGGACAGCGGGAGCCGGGAGTGGGCACGGGGGCGCAGGAGACGCAACCGGTCCTAAATGACCACCACGAGGGATGGACGCCCCAAAGGCAGTGGGACGAGGGGCAGCCCCTGGAGGGCACAGGAAGGGGAGACCGCAGCAGTGGGGGGAGCGGCGAGCACTATCGCCGGGCACAGGGCTGGGCACAGGGGTGGCCACAGCTTCGCGCGGCTGCGGGCACTGAGGCGGCGGAGACTGGCGGGCAGGGCAGCTGGGCTGAGCGGGAGGGGCGGGCGGCCGTGGGGAAGTCTCCCTGGAGGCACGAGAGAAGGGTGTCACCCAGGGCGCGGGCAGGTGAGGACGGCGGGTCAGGGCAGCTGTGCCATCGAGAAACGCATCGGAGAGTGGAGGGGACACCGTCTGACAGGGGGGACCATTTCTGCCGGGCACAGGTGCATGCGGGCAGTGGCTGGGGCCTGGGAACATTTAGCTTCCACCGGGGACACCAGCATCAGCTTTGAGAGAAGGAAGCAGGTCCCACAGGTGCCTGCCGAGGAGAGAGAGCGGGTCGCTGAGCAAAGCGGGGCGTCCACGGTGACGTTTGGGCAGCAGCACCTCATCTGGGAGAGGCGGGCGACACTGGGGGCGGCCAACGGCCCTCGGAGGCAGAAAGACCAGTGCCGCAGACACGAGGGCGAGAGACATCAGACTCTCCGGCCAGGACCATGAGGGCCAGTGAGCCCCGGGCAGGCAGCGGGGTGGGGCGGGTCCCGGGTCCAGGCGGGGTGCAGTGACAGGAGCCGGGAAGACCCGAGTCCGCCCAGAGTGTCCGACCCAGAGTGGGGCTGGTTCCAGAACGACGCCATGCAGCACGGAGGTTCCAGGCTGGACAGCAGGCTTCTCCTCCGTCCACTTCGTCCACTGCAGTTTCTTCAGTCCGTGGCCAGTGTGCCCTTGGGTTCAGCTCCCGCCCCACTCTGACCTCGACGTCCCTTCATTAACGCAGGTGGTCCCTTCCGGGGGTCTCCTCGCCCATGGAGGTGCCCAGAGCTGCGCAGCTCCAGCCAGCACGTGGCACCCACCTGCACGTCCCCCCGAGGGGCGTGCTGACACCCCTGTGTTGGCCCCGTAAAACTCAGCACTGCAGACGCTGTCTGGGGGGGATCACCGTGGTCTCTGCTGAGTCGGGGGCACAGAACCACCGCGTCTGGGAGCCCAGAGGCAGCAGCGGAACTGGAACGCCCTGTCCGCCGCGCACCAGCCCCACGGCAGCCTGCCCGTACCGCGTACACTCGCTGCTCTTTCCCAGGATTCCCAGGGTAAGACAGTCACGGCCCCGTCAGCCAGGACAGACTTCTCTGTTGATTGTCAACCATTCACGCAGCAGGAGGTTTACAAGGGTTTGTAAAAGTGAAATCGTCTTACCTGCACTTTTTTTAAAGCTACTGGTACTCCATCCAAGAGACAGGACGCTCTATAAACTTCACTAAATTGCCCTCGACCAATTTTCTTTTCTATCCGAAAGTTGGCTAGTGTATTGTAGCCCATGTCCGGTCGTAAGGCCTTCTGCAATTAAGAAAAGTCAGAGAAGTTTTCAGTCACACGGGGTACACAATCGAGAACACGTTTCCCATAAGCGGGTGAGCCCTGCAGTGGCGGGACTCAGGAGCCCCCGACTCCCTCCCCAGCCAGCCTCTGTCCCCACCCCGCAGGCAGGCACAGCCGGGGCCGCACACACGGTCCTGATGAAGAGCCAAAATAACCGACAGGCCAAATACAGAAACACACATTGTGTCCCATAGAAAGGGCTAGAAAGAAAAGCCTCCCAAGGAAGGAGCACAGGAAGAGGCAGGAGGAGGAAGATTCCGGCATCTTAGACGGGAGCTCTCTCTAGCAGCGGTCCACAAACACGCCCGTGTGATCTAGCACTTCCCTGACGACCCTCGTCCTGCTCCACGCATCTCTGAGCGCAAGTGGAGTCCACTAACACGTGTCCCCGCTCGGCCCGACCCGCCAGGAGCACACGAAAGCCCGGGGCTTCCCGGCGGCCTGGGACTCGCGCGCAGGGCCCTCCCGGAGGCAGGGCGGGGGCTCACCCCCACAGTGGCGGCGGTTTCTGTGAAAACACTTCATGTTTTCAAAGCAGTTGTGGGCCTGCAGCCCAGCTGAGAGGCAGGGACAGAGATCCCCCAGGGGCCCCCGGGCTCCGCCCACACGCCCAGCCCCCAGCGCCAGTGTCCCCCACCAGAGGGTACGTTTGCCGCAGCTCAGAACCTGCGCTGGCCGCCGCCCCCACGCAGGGTCCACGGCCGACCTCAGGGTTTGCTCCTGGTGCGGCACGCTTGCGCTCTGGACAGAGGCAGAGCGGCGTGCGCCCACTGCAGTGCATTCCACGGAACGTGTTCGCTGCCTAAGACCCTCGGCGCCCATCGGGTCAGCCCTCCCTCCCGCCGGCCCTGGCAGCCGCCGATCGGCTCCCTGCCGCCCTCCGACTCTCTGGGGAATGTTTGTGGTTCTAAAGGGTCTCCAGCGTCTGAGAAGTCGACCCCCCTCCTCCCCCGGATCAACACCGACCACCACGGTTTCTCCAGGTGACGACGCGTCACCAGTCCCAACAGGGAGATAGATACAGCTTCGTCGTCGGGGGCCCCGTCCCCGGGTCCCCACGCTGGAAACGGGGCCGGGAATGCCATCTCCTGTCGGCACGGTGACTGACAAACATCGGCGCGCACCGCTAAGGCCGTGTGACAGCCACACGCTGGGAGCAGAGGCTCGCTAATGTGTTCTGGCATGCAGGCCTGTAATCGCACATTTACATATGCAATGACCTACATTTGCATGTCAGATCACACGCTGTCTGGGTTGATGGAGACCGGGCACCTCCCTGCGCCCGGCGGCCGGCGTGCGGAGCCAGGGCCAGAGGGCGGTATTTTTGGCGGCGGAGGGACGAACTGCCACGGAGGATCAGGCCGACGTGGCCTGAGCACTAGACACTTCATTAGGCGCAATCTGTTGAACAGTGGGCAGCGAACGAGAACTTCACAGCCCATTTGCAGCACCTCCCCCCTCCCCGGCCTCGCTCCAGAGGGGGGGCGGCTGACTGACAGCCCGTCTCATCTGCTCCCGTGTCCTGTCACCCGGGGAGGACGCGCAGCGCTGACATGAGAAGGATCCTGGCTGCACGTCTCCCGCCGCCCCCGGTCTCCCTGCCGCGCGGCAGTTTCTGCAGAAGCCAGCGTGCGCAGCACGGGCCCCTCGGGGACTCCGTCAGACGTCAGACGGGTAGGCACAGCACCGGCCTCGGTGACGACCGCCGAGGCTGCGCCCGGGGCCGCCCGCACCCTGGCGGGCTCCGTGCCACCGCAGGGAGCACCGTGTTAGGTGCTTCAGACAGAAGGGTGGTGCCGTCCACAAATGCCCACCCACGTGCAGAACTGTTTGTAGGAAGGGCCACACTCTTTGTTGCATGACGTCCAACCCCCCTCACATATCCTTAGTTTCACAGTGGAGTTTTACTGGGGAATAAAATAACTCAGCAAAATGGTACGATTCAAATCAGATTGAGTCACAAGCCGGAAAAGACCCAGAAGTGCCTTGTCTGTCCTCCCGACCCGGTGTGCACGCCGGGGGGGGGGGGGCTCAGCCACCCCAGCCCCCCAGTGACCGGCTGCTGCTCCGAGCGGCACAAGGCGGCTCCTGAGTCTCATGGGTCGCCTGAAGGATCCTCAGCGTTTACGAAAGGAAAGCCTGCGGCTCGGTTCCTCACACAATGAAGACGAGGATGACCGCCCAGTGACGGGGGCTTCTGAGTCGCCTGTGCACCTGGCCTGGGGCCCCGCCCCCCAGCCACTCCTTCTGTCTCCCCGGTGCACCCCAGGCACCGCCGAGGCCTCGCCCTGCATGGTCCAAGGCCCTGCAGACCTGAACAGCCGGGCTCTTCACGCATAGCCAGCCTGTGCTTGCCTTCCAGAGCCACTGTGGGCCCTGCTGAGGGGCCTCGTGCGGCCCCCGGGGCAGCTCCCACAGCTCCCGCCCTGCGTGCACAGTGACCAGCAGCCGCCACACGGCTCTCCACACAGCCGCACAGGCGCCAGGGCCGGGCCAGGTCCCGGGCCTCACTGGGTGTCATCATCCGTTTACACACATGTGTTTCGCCCCCTCCACAGTCCCGCAGAGGCAGAAACAGAGACTTTGGTATTTGCACAGAGCGGCCTGAGGGCAGGCAGCCTGCCGCGGAGAGGACGATGCACACGCTGGGAACACGAGTGCAGGCGGACGCCCTCACACACGCGACGGCCCTGCAGAGCGTGACTGCTGGCGGCTCCCCCCGGAATCTGGGGGGAGCAGGCAGAGGGGTGGAAAGAGCTTCAGGCCTGCAAAGAAAGGCCACTGCCTCTGCGTCCAGCAGTGCCCGGCAGGCGGAACAGAACCCCCTTCAAGCCCCGGTGTCCACAGAGACTGCACTAACGCCCCCGTCCCTGTGAGCACGTGCTCTGGTCGGTCTGGCTCTTCATAGCCCGCCCGAGGCCGGGCTCCGAGAAAGAGTCCACAGCGCCCCCGTGAGGCCCAGCAGGGAAGGCACAGCTCGGGAGTTGACGCCCAGGCCCCTCCCAGGTCGCACCGGCCCCCCAGCCTTGTGTCCTGCTTCTGCGGACCTGGCACACGCCTCCCGGGGGACTGGAGTCTGGGTGAGGTGGGCGGGGGAGGGGCGGGGGGGAGCACTGACCACAGAGCCAGGCCTGGGCATGTTTGCAGCGAGCACCCAGTTGACTCTGCCTCCCCAGGCCACAGGGCCGCCCGTCCCCCGACTCGCTCTCCCACCGGGCTCCTGTGTGCGCGGGCTGCTGGGTGTCCGTGTCCGCGAGTGTTCGGGTGAGAATTCTTGAGTCGAGGCCTCAGCTTCCTTGTCCGGTGCCTCCTTCTCTGGGCCACCTAGAGATCTCCTCCGTCCACTGCTCCATTTCCCCTGAGCCAGTGGGCTCCGCCTCCGACTGGGACCCCCGTTTCCAGGGGGCGCGGCTCCCCGACCCAGGAGCGAAGACAGCTGTGTCCCATCCCTCGAGCAGGGGCCCTGGGGTGGCAGTGCAGTGCCCCTAGCTACAGCCCCTTCTGCCCAAAGTCCCGTGAGCAGTCACGGGGGGGCGGGGGGGCACTGAAGGGAAAACCAGGCTGAGTGGCGGCTGGGGTGTCTGCCTGGCACACGCCCAGAGAGCTGACGGTCACAGGCAGATGGGAGGACGTCAGCCCGATGCCCAGCCACCCCGGGAGTGTGAGAGCGCTGGCTCCCGGGGACGCCGGCTGGGGCAGCACGCAGCGTCCACCACGGCGGGGCGGCCGAGCGCGGCCGGCGCAGCCCGCGGTGCCGTTTCAGACACGCCTGCCTGGGGGTGGGGTCTCCAACGCGACTGATGAGCAGGGACGCCACGCGCCTGCGTGCTGGTCTTCACTTCGGCTTTGCTTCGTGATGTACGCAAAGGGCATAGCGTCCAATCTGGTTTGGGGAGCATTTACACTCCATTTGGTGGTAAATTACTATGTTCAGTCTCTGTGGAGATCCGAATCTACACACTAACAGGTCATACCAGGAAGGCATCTTGGAGTCTCAGAAGCAAAATAAATGCTGGAAATCACACCAGACGACTGGGAAATCAACCCCCAGCGTGGACGCTGCTTTGCGTCACAACCCGAGTGCCCCGGGCTCTTCCCAGCAGAGCCCCTGGCGCTCCGAGTGCGCCCTCGTCCCCCCACACGTCCCCCCGCACGTGCCCCCGCACTGGGCCCCTCGAAGGGCCTGGGGAACGGCCTGCCCTCTCCCTGCAGCCGTGCTCGCCACGCCTGCGCAAGAACAACCTTCTCTCTAAAATAAAATTCACCCTGCCATGCCACCGGCTCTTCTTCTCGCAGGCGCGGGCTCTTGACACAACAACACGCTGGACCAAACTAATTAATTCACTCTAAACCTGAATCCAAGGACATTTACTAGGCAGTGAGATGATTCAGGATAACATCAAGATGATGACTCTCTCTGGGGAAATTAAAGAGTCACATCATGGACTCCACAGACTCCTCTGAGAGGAAATTATGTCCCCGTAATTCCTAGAGGCATTGTTATCAGTGGTCCGATACGCAAGCCCGTGTTAATTGTGATATTCCGTCATTAACAAGGTTTTCATCGTTACCGCAATCCTCCCTTCCTAAGGACTTCCATGTGGCCAATTATGCAAACGAGTAAATTACTCTGTATTTTATATTAGCGTTTTTGAGTCTCTCCGAAATTTAAAAGTAACAAAATCTCAACATATCCTTTGAGTTTATTTGTCTAGAAAGCTCATCCTATGGTCTTAGAAAAGATACTACTCCTCTCCAAACTACACAAACTAGAATGCACTTTTGAAAGTATCGAACACGACTCTGTCGTACGGTACTTTTTCAAAACCTCACTGTAAACCAAGAGCCAGCCACACGCGCAAACACGCCACGAGCGTTAACACGGTCTGATGATTCACGCTTCTTCCCACCTGGAACGTCGTCTCCCGAAAACTGCTTGGGACGCCTCGGAAGTAGCC